TATATATATATATATATATATATACTAAAATAAACTACTACTTGTACAATTATTCCTACTTTGCAGTTTTTCACTTTTCACGGGGCTTCAGGGTACAGATCCCCGCGATGAATGAGGGAATACTGTATTAGTGAAAACTAAAAGATTAAACTTAAGTTTTATTTGTTAGCTTAGCATTTGAGATCCATGTACATTTTGTGGCTCTGAAGACTGCAGGCTTCTGACTTTAGGCATCAATTTCTATGATGATAAAAGTTAAAAACAATTAAACGCTCTGCTGGCCAATGTTTACATCTAAGAGGCTACTTTTATTATTTCATAATAAATCGGAGCAAATGGTGGCGTTCTGTCCAGATCAACACCATTGCAGACTGTATGACATGTACAAAGCAAAGACATGTACAAAGCAAAAACTTGTCCAAACAGGAAGTTGTCACTGTCTCAGTGTTTGACATCAGCTTGAACAGACCTGCAGCTGTTTCAGAGTTGTTAATCTGACAGGAAAGCTGACAAAACCAAGAAGCCATGACTCTTATGCTCAGTTCTTTTGGTTTGAGATCCATCTGGTAATTTTTAGATTACAATGTCATCTTAAACACATGAGGCATGAAGAGCTCAGGTTTAATTACAGTGTGATCTGAAGCCACGATCAGAGATGTAAGACCGTCAGAACTTTCTTTATGCCTCATGCAGCCGGGCTGATGTTGCGGCACAAGCCCGGGCCGCTCTGTGCCCGAGTCTGCTTTATGAAATGTGAAATTGAAGACGGCGGCTTTAGCGTGCGCACAGGAAGCTGGCAAATCACCACGGAGGCATCGGCGTGACACAAACCAAACTTTCTGTGGATGTTAGGCCAATTTACTGCTGCCTCTGCAGGATTTCACCGTGTGGAAACACCGGTGTCGCAGAGGCTGATAGACGATCCCGACGTCCTGTATTACAAAATAAACCAAGCGAAATCAAGTAGACTACTTGAAAGCACACATTTGCATTTCCACGTTAATTCTCAACCATTCTAGTTTACAGTCTATAAATAGAATATATATGAAATTAACCACAATCAAAAAACATCAAGCAAAGACTGACTAAATGAAAAAGCTGTTAAACTAATTGTGGTAAATTTGCTCGAACTATAGCAACCCAATAGTACTGATCTCAGCTGCTTTATTCTAATGAGATATTTTGCTAACAGTACACACAAAGCATTATTGCCCTTTCACCTTCAGCAGTGCGTAGTAATAACACTTAGCCAACAACACAAATAAGATACCGAGTTCATCTTTAAAATTCTGCTTCACCAGTTGCTGAATTGCAAAAGTGTCTGCGGTAGCATAAAAGTAAAAGTTCAAATGCAGCTTTTATTAATTTCACCGACCTCTTACAGCTTTGAGAGGCTCATTAGCTGTTCACTGCTGAAAGCCTTTTTGTTAAATGAGTTGTCAGATAGAACTTGGACTGCCTTTGTGATTTAAAGGCTGCTAAGGGAGACGTTGCTGGAGGTCGTTCGTACCTGCATTGCAGGTCTGTATGAGTGTGTCTGCATGTGTGTATCTGAGGCACTGAGGGAGGGTCCTGTACAGCTGTTCCAGCTTTACAATCAGCTTCAGAAACCTCTGGCATTTCAAACACATCACTTACACCTGAGGCAGCCTGTTGGGTAAAAACAAAACTTTTTTACTTTTGTACCAACACTATTGCTGTATGTGCTTAAGCCTTATATAAATACCGTATTGTTTGGCTTATAAATCACAATTTTTTTGCATAATTTGCATGCCCTGTGACTTGTACACTGAAGCAACTTGTTTGTTTTTTTCACATATTTATAAACCAATTTCGGCTTGCCATAAACTGCCAACTTCGTGCAGCTCCGGGATGACGCCTGGAGCAACCGTCAAATCAGCTTCATTTCGCTGCACCGCCCCGGCAAAATGCAGCTGATTTGACCACTGAAGTGCATTTATTAAGTAAAAGTTCAACTGAGACACACAACTTCACAAAGGCATCTTCGACACACACATACAAAAGTATTGTAGTAATTACTGTAGTATTACTGAATACCCAGATTACTGTGGGTATTGACTGCGTGTCAATGCCCACAATACTGACCTACAGTATTTTTAAGTCATTATCGTTTGTGTTTGCAACTTGATCAAAACTTAATGAAAGCAGAATAAATGCCATAACAGTAAAAGTTCTGACTCCGATTTAAATAAAACCTTTTTATTTAATTTATGTAGTTATTCTCTGGGCAGCACGTCTCATCCCCAAAATGCCCCCGGGCGCTTTCAATAGCTGCCCACTGCACCACCTGGTGGTGGATGGGTTAAATGCAGAGACTAATTTCGCCATTGTATGGAAACATACAGTGCTGACATTGTGATGACATTATTATTATTATTATTATTAACTTTTATTTAACTAGATGAATTTTACTGAAATCACAGATTTTTTTTTGAAGAGGGCCTGAAGGCAGCCTAACATGCATGTTTTTGACTGTGGGAGGAAACCAGAGAAAACCCACACAAACACGAGGCGAACATGCAAACTCCACCCCAGGTCCAAACCAGGGATTGAACCCAGGACCTTCTTGCTGTGAGGCAACAGTGCTAACCACTACTCCATCGTGCTGCCCATTTTTAATTAATGACTTTGCTGATATTTGTAGAAGACTGAATTGTTAAAGTAAAAAAAACCAATAATAAAACTGAATAAAAGCTAAAATTAGCCAAACTGTAGCTAATGGCTAAGATGAGCAAACTGTCAGGTGAATTCAGGTAAAGGTTTATAGATGTTTATCACTGCTAATGTTAAATTAATGTTGAAGCATGTGTGTGAGGAGCAGAGAGTTATTTTTCTCTCTCAGAGAAGAGCCTGCAGGCACCTGACACCTCCGAGTCCAAGAGGTCGAGGTCATCGTGCAGATAAGCATATAAAAACACTTCCTGTCCACTGTCTGGGGCAGATCTTCACGGCCGAGGCTTTAATGAGACATCTGTGTAAGCCTGTGTGAACTCTGCCTTTGCAAATAAACTGGGTTAAAAAAAAAAATTTCTCCCGTCTTCATGTGTGACTTTTTAGCTAAATAGATGATGAAAATATATTTTTATCTACTGTAACACAAACCATAGCTAAAAGCTAAAAGTAGCAAGAAAGTAGCTGCTAGCTAAAAGGCGTCAACGAGACAAGCAATAGTTCTGTACAAAAAATTTTAAAAATATATGCTAAAGCAGACTTCAAAAGGAATGTTTTGAAGAAACTGAAAATATTTTATTAAACCCTGATTTACTGGGGGTACTGACCACCAATAAATCTGGAGGTCAGTACTTCCGTCAGTGTGAAACATCAAGCATTTGTTCCAATCACTGCTACTTACAGTTTGTTCCCTTTGAGTGCAGCATGGTGCAGCAGGTTAAAGCCTCTGTGGTTCTGCTGGGTGAAGTCAATATTGGGCACGACGACGAGGATCTCGATGATATTTCGGAAGTCTTTAGCGATGGCATCATGGAGCGGCGTGTCCCCGTATGAATCCTAACACAGAAAAAGAAAACGGTGAGTGAATCTGTTAAAACTCCACTGGTCCTGTACATTTTGGAGCATCGCCTTGCTTTCTGAAAGTTTTGTGTATATTCCTGACACACAAAACAAAATAGGAACAGAAAACGATAAGAGTTTAAAAAAAACTGCCTCATAAATCACCGATTATGAGAAAACATCCCATAAAAACAATGTGGTAATCTGCTAATGTCTGCTGGTTAGGTGATTTTATTCATTCTTAATGTATTATTTCTCAGTAATGACACATAAACAGGAATAGACCATATGCACATTTTCCAAACACAAAACCAAAACAAACTGACATGTTTTTTAGCTGAGTAATCACACTGTTCAAGCAGAAATAAACAAGTTAGTTAGTCAAATCTGGGCCTGCTCAAAGGCATGTTAGACCAACTGAAAAATCCCATTTAAACAGATTTTATGTCGTCGTAATGAGGCTGCGAGCTGAAGTAATGACAAGTCACAAACAGCGTTAATGACCGTTTACTGTGTGCAATTCTTCTAACATCACAAGTAACCTGAATGTAAAAACCCTCACCTATATGATGCTTTGACAATCACCCTGCTAACATTACAAATTTGTTTTTTCAGTGTATTTTCTGAAATAATGGTGGATTCAAGATTTAAACCAGAGAACTGTCTTCTGTGGTGGATTATTAAATGTTGTAGCAGGTCACAAGTTCAACAGAGTACAAAGTGTCTGCGGAAGTTTTGGCAAAAGTCAAAACAAAGCAGGATGTTTATACAACAAAGCGGGCACGTGATCAGAGCGTGCATGAATCCCAGAATCAATCACCCAAGAGGAGCTTCACAACACATAGGTGCCCCATTCAGAAGTCACAACTAGGCCTGTCATGATAAACAATAAATCAATTAATCGCAGGATAAATGAAAATTATCGACCTCATTTTCATTTATCGGCTTTATTGTTTCTTCGTGTCTCTCTCTTTCTACTGAAGACACTGGATGACAAAAAGCTCAACTCCGGTGCTCTTCACTGACCCCTCCCTTTCTCTTTTCTCATTAACCGTCCAAAATTACGTTTTTGGATCGTTAAAAATAGCTGAGAAGCTAAGCTACGAGCTAAGCCAACAGGCCGACCTCAGGGGGAAAAAACCTCAGTCTTTTTGAAGCTCCAAAATTCACGGTTGAAACCCGTGTCTTTGAGCAAAAAGTTTTTTTTTCGCTGCATAAAGAAGTTGAGAACTTGTTTACTGATTTTTTTTATTAAAAGATTTGTGTGAAAAATGCTAAAGAGCTCAAACCACACAGAGCGTCCTCCATTTTGAGAACCGAAGAGACACAGCCCATGTCACGTCAAGGGGCCTCCCTCCCATTTTTCTTAGAGAGACACGCTGCTCGCTCCCTCACTATCCATCCTTCGGTTCAAACGGTCTTATACTGCCATCCGGTGGTCGAAAAAAGGTACTACATGCAAAACAAATTAAACATTTCTTTTTCTTTTACAGTTTTAGACCAGGGTGTGTGAGAGGAGAGAGACAGACAGATCTCAGTAGCGCACTGTCTGAACAGACAGTTTGTTGGGTTTTTTGGCGGGGGGGGGAGGGGCGAGGGGAGAGACAGACGCACATCTGAGCCGTGCGCCGTTTGTACTGACAGTTTTCGAGTGGCGGGGGTGCGTTCAGCGTGAGGGTTCAGCATGAAGGAAGAGGCTGCCTTTAGCTTTTTAGCTAGTGCATCTGAATTGCGAGCCGCTAGTTTAGCGTTACGTCAGTGCAGACAGGTGGTTGGGGATGTGGGGTGGGGTTCGGTAGTCGGGGCGCTCGGTTCTGTTGACGAGGCAGGGCGCCCCGCTTGTATAATGGTAGGGGAAACACTGATATTATTGTTTATCACAATAATTTCTGAGACTATCGCCCAGTAAAATTTGTTATTGTGACAGACCTAGTCACAACATGAAGGACCTGATTCAGTAGTGAATCATCTTTATCTGCAAGTAGACATTCCCTTTTCATCCACAAACATGAAATAGTCTTTAGTCATAACTTTTAGTCCACAAGATCAAGCCAAAAAAAATCTAGTTAGGGTTTAAAGCATTTTTATATTACATCTAGAAAAATCATACGTTTTCACTTTCACACACACTTTTTATATTTTTAGGAGTAAAATTTATCGCACGCTGAGCAGCTATGCTGCTTCATTTTCCCTCAGGACACTAAGTATACATGCATGCATTCAGCGCAAAATTGATTTAGCCACTTGGCATGGTTTCAATTTAAGAAAAGTAAAAATGGACACAAAAATATTTTGAGCCAAACCAAGTATAAAAAAAAGCTGAGGTGAAAAAAAGATTGATTTTGCCGTCTAGGATTTGTACAGCCACTATTAGTCAATGATTAGGTTGAAGGGTTATGTAAGCTGTTGTGCACCTCCTCACCTGGAGATTGACGTCAGCTGAATGCTCAGTGAGCACTCGCACCACGTCAGCGAAGCCCTTGTTGACGGCAATGTGGAGCGCCGTGCACAAGGAGTTGTTCAGGAGGTTCACGTTCGCCCCCTTGCTTAAAAGCAGCCGTGCGATCTCCGCCTGATTACTAAAACATAAACAAACCAATAAGAAATAAAAATACAAATGCATGTGAATGTAGTTTTGCTTTGATTGACAGTAGCATATGGTAATAATGACATCATTTAAAAAGGTGCTGACTTAGATTTAATTTGGGAATATGTAAATAATCACACTGGTGGAAAATAAATATGAGCACCAGAACAAACATGTCAAGCAAAAACAATTAACTTCTTTGCACATGCAAAAACATCTACAGGACCGGTGTGCACCCTCACCCAAAGGCAGTATAGTGCAAAGCCGTGTCTCCGTCTTCATCTTTGACCTCCACTGAGCTGTTGGCCTGTAGCAAAGCCTTCACCACCTCCATGTGGCCTTGGTGAGCAGCAACCTGCAGCGCAGTCTTCCCTTGGTTCTTGACGTCCACCTGCCAAGAACACAGACATCGTTGGAGCTTCATGAGCAGAAGACGACGTACGAACACTGTCAGAGTCGATCACAGACTGGCTGGAAGTAATCTCTGCACGAACAGAAATAATCCCACCAGGATCAAATAAAAAATAATCCCACCAAGTTGCGCTGTCATTGCGTAAGAGAACAGCAAGAGCACAACAAATAATCTTACTCTGATTTAACTGTGTGACATTTCTTACAGTTAATAATCATCCCACTATTACAAATTATATACTGAGACATGTTTATGTTAGGGAAAAAAAAAAAAATTTCTCTTGTGCTTGTTGAGTATAATCACAGTGTCAATTTTTAAAGTGCAGTACTGCCAAATCGGAACCATTTTTGCCATTTGCAGTCCCCTCCCGCTCCCAACAGTCTTGTTTAACGGTTGGAAACAGCTTCTGGAACAGACAGCGGACTGCAGCAAAGAGACGAAGTGCTGCACTCACCTTGTCCGGATACTTCTGCACCAACTCCCGCACTTTGCTGGCACTGCCGTGCGCTGCTTCGATGACCAGCCGGCTGGGATTGTCCTGCTCTGTGGACTGAGACAGCAGCTTCTCCAACACTGAGATGACAGTACCTGAACAGAGATACAGGAGGAGAAGAGGGGGTGGATGATGTGAAATGGGGAAAACACAAAATGATGTGTTAGATTTTTTTAAAATTCCACCAACAAACATCCTGCAAAGGGACAAAAACTCAATGTTGGCTGATGAATTTGTCAGGACTGAACACAGGAATGAGTCAAAATGTCCCTCCATGCAGTGAAATTTGACCACACTCACACACACAGTTATGTTTTCACCCTTCCATCGGTTGTAGTGAACACATACACAGAGCTGACGTGATAAAGAGCCTGCTGAGAACCTCTGACATGATGACAAATGTTTGCTGAGCTGCCAAAGCCTCTTGCTGTCAACATGCTGGATCATGACATGCTACAGGAAAGAGCGCTTGAAGGAACAGACACCCTGTTCACACATTAATGCAAAAAAATAAAATAAAGGGCCACGGATGAAACTGTAGCAGCCTGTATGGGAAAGCATGCAAAGCAGAGCCAGAGCTGGATGGAACGCTGGGGAGGAAGAAAGAATGCAAAGACAAGGTAAAGCTGGAGCAGTAGAGTTTGAGATGAGCCCCCTGGTCCCAGAGGAGGCCTTACTTCCAGAGTCGTTGGGGTTCTCTGCTGTCATGAGGTTAGCATCTACCTCCGTGGGCTGGGCTGTGAGGCACGCTGGGTTGAACGTCCACGTCTGGCCTCCAAACGCAACCCGCAGGTCTCCATCCGCATATACTTTCAAGACCTTCCCAACCTGGCCAAGCACCTGTAGAAGAAGAAGTAAATGCAAAATACATAACATACTGTTAGGTACAGTCTATCCCAAGTACCCGTCACTGGTCACACCAAGTCCAAAACCATGAGAATTTTTTTAAACATTCAAATAAACCAACTTTAGTTGTGTAAATGCTGACTTTTTGTTTTCCTGTTTTTTTCCATCCATCTTTACCCTTTTCTTCCTTTTTCAGGTCACGGGGGTCACTGGTCCTCATATCCAGCAGTATGCCTTTTATTTGTAGTAGCTTTTATACTTTTCACAACATTCAAGTTAAGTTACAAATATTTATCCATAGAAATATATTCAGACCTCTTCTGTTTATCCAAGAACATCGTTCTCTTTGAAATCTGCTTCAGGTTAATTGATCTAGTTTGTCTTTTTATGCCATGTTTTTATTTTTTAGCCGTCACTTTGCTACTTTTAGGTTTTAGCTAGCCTTCTGCTATCCTGAAGCATAATCAATAATCCAGGTAGAAAAACCTAACAAAGTTAAGTCAGGTCCTCTGGAGGGATGCAAAAAGTAAAAAAAAAATAAAAATGAAAATAAAATAAAAATAAGAAAATACTAGCCTTCTGCTAGTTTTACCTAGGCTTTTGCCACTTTTAGCTAATGTTTTACTTTTAGCTTTATTCAGTTTCAGCTTCTTCGTCAGTCATTTAGCACTCGGTGTGCATTTTTGCAGAAAATACAATTTTTCTAGCTCACAGCTCGATTTGAGCTGCATGAAGAACAAACGCTGGGCTAAAACAGCATGCAGACAGATTGTTTTCAAGCTCCAGTTTGTTAATTAAGACTGTAATTTTGCATACAGGAGACATGCTGTCTGTCCACTCTCCGTGGCCGGCCTGCAGTCTCTTCACCGTCTCCATCTCGTCCAGCACTTGTACAAGTTCACCAACTCCGAAAGTGTTGACCTGGAAGAGAGAAGGGTCCAAGCTGAAACCATTCTGACATTGGAATGAAAAATAAAGTCCTCTGGCAGATGCTTATTGGTCATTTTGTACCTTGGTGAGTGCTCCTGGGTGGAAAGTCCAGCGGATGTTGTTGCTGTACTGCACTCTGACATCTCCTCGGTCAGTTATTCTATGAACTGTCCCGATTCGACAAATGTACTGTGAACACAAAGAAGCCATTTCACCCTGGGCACCCCCTCAGTGTGTCTGTGAACTTAACATTCCTTTTAACGGCTGTGATTGAAAAGACAGATGCTCTTTTTTTATTCTGATGGAACCTCCATCTGGGCCACTTTTAGAAACACTCTGCACATCAAATTCTAGAGGCACTATGCATTGTGACTATGAAGCCATAAATATCTGAGCATTACATGTACGATGCACATTATGAACGCATATTTGTATAAAAAAGCACTGGTGAAAATAAATCAAGTAAATTTCAACTTTCTGCATTCCTTAGAAAATCAGTCTGGTTGTTGTTGAGTTTGTTTTCTTCAGTTTTTTTTTTTTTTTTAGCAATCTAAACCAAACAGGAAAAGTTTTCATACCTCTGCCATTTTGGGGTTCCACCCTCCATGGCCCTCCTGCATTTGTCGCAGGATGTCCACCTCCAAGAGACATTTGACCTTGTCGCCCTGCTGGAAAGAGTGGCCGTCAGCACTCTCCTGACGCTGCAGCTCTGCGTGGTCTCCTGAACAAACAGGCATCGGTGTCAACAAAAAGACAAACTTTTAAAAGAAGAAGAATTTAATGCATTTTAGAATTATTATATATACACTGGGGATGCACCATTTATTTGGCAAGTGACCAAAATCAGCGCCTTTTCGGCTCGATTTATTTGAAGAATGGCAGGCACCAAAAAAAAAATAATAATAATTACCCTTTCTGGTCTATGAATGTATCAGATACAGAAGCAATTTATTTTTTCTTTCTTGCCAAAGAAGTGTTCATCCTGTTATCTTGTGCCATTTTTATGCTTTGTGTACGACTCTCAGCTACTACCGCACCACATTTAACTCACTTTGCATACTTTGTTAGAGTTCATAAATAGATATTGAATCAATCTGAATTAGACAAAATCTGAATCAACAACTCTGCAAAAAGTTATCAGCTGAAAAAAATAAATAAATAAATAAATAACAGGAATCAGTGAAATTCCAATGTTTATAGCATGGTAATGTCCAGGAATGATATAAAGAAGTGCCTCCTTACCGAGCTTGGGAAGGTGATCTTTGTAATAGAAGCCTCCTTGACCATCCAACACATACTTGAGGTCTACCTTGCCCTTGTGGCCCATTCGGTATACATTGGTAGTGCCGTTTGACCAGGTAACACTAGCCACGCTGCGACCAGACTCTGTGTCCCAGCCGCGAATGTCCACTACCTTCCCAACCTTACCTTCCCCACCTACACGTACATACACAGAAACAAATACACAAAATATATACACAAGAAACAACAAGGCAAGAAACTGCAGGAGGAGAGACAAAAAGAAAATCTGACCATGACAAACAAATAGTTGATTCATGAATAAAGGTGGTTTGTTTCAATGAAAACATGTAAATGATGCAAGAGTACAAGAAACATTTATACTGATTGGTCTGAAGTTGCTGCAGAATATAATAGAGTGAACCTTAATTTAAAAATAAACAAAGCTTTTATGATGAACTACAAAGAATAATTACAAGCAATTGCCAAAAAAACAACATCCATCCATCAAAATTAGTCAGAAAACACTTTGAAACCTTTGTTAATCTATAAAGTCATTAAATTCCTTGAATTCTTAAAACACCACCACCTACACCTGTTACAGCAAATCTCATTGGACTGTTGGTGACGAGCTGGCAACACAAATTTGGATCAAAATTGTGAGAAAATATGCTAATTTTCTGTTGCAGTCTCACTAGAATTTGAGTATTTGCATTAAAGTACATTGTACATACAATTTCTAAAAAACATTTTAGCTGTTTAGCTGTTAGCAAACCTGTATTCTAAGATGTGCACTTTATTGCCACAATCGTATGCATCTTAGCATGTTTTGGACCCACCTTGGCAGCCACCCCCACATTTAACCTTTTATTTTCATTCAACCTTTATTTAGACAGATAAATCCCATTGAGCCTCGAGAACTCATTTACAAGAGAGACCTTTTAATCTACTGGAATACGAAAATAGGTAAATTTAGACCAGTTTTGAAATATATGTTTGTATATGTATTTATATATATGTAGCCCAGTTTGAACTGTGCTATATAGTACCAACTAAAGTGTCAAACTAAATTCATAGTAATATAATTTAAGTTTAAAAACAATGTCTAAGTGATAAAAGTGGAATAAATATGAAAGATAAAAAAAACTCCTTTGTCATTTAAAAATGTATCAATTTAAAAACAGTTCATATCTGGTCAAGAAAATCTAGTTTAAGCAGACTGAAACAGGCAGTTGTCAGTTTTACTACGTTCTTTGAATGTTACATAAAAGTTTGTTTAAGGGGTACATGCCACGTGGAAGCGTCACAACCTACTCTTTGAGTTGTGCCAAGGGTCAACCTTGTTCAGTTATTTTTTTTTGTATTGGATTAAGCATTTTATTTTGCCCATTTAGATGGGAGTGGGTGGGATTAATGGTACGCTGCATGAAATGTGAGTCTGTGTGAAAACCAGACCAGCCAGAGAGCACAGTGACGCAGATGTGGGACAATAACAGAGTAAAGCTGTCCATTACAACCGTTAATGCAGAGTTGCCGACTGTAACGGACTTTAAGAAGCATATGAATGTGGACCAGGAGCTAATCTTTGGACCTGCCGGACAACTAGAAGTTCCCCATTCAGCCGTTTTAGTTCCCATCAGTGAGGTTGATGATATCGGTATTCGTGTGACATCACCTGCCTACTTCCTTTACTCAGTGCCACATTAAAGGGATTTCCACATCTACCTTTTCCCAATCTCAAACTTTGAAGGACATGATATTACTACAAATTTAGTTTAAGACTTTAGTTGGTACTATATAGCATAGTTCAAACTGGGCTACATACGTTTTTTTAAGCATGTTCAAAATTCAAGTGTCCAGGCTGAAAACTTCCACACCTCATGCAAGGAAATTGAGAACTCCAGCGAGTCGCAAACCACACGGAGACTCCTTTGTGAATGCCACTTGCCAACTAGTCACCAGCGCAGCCCAAAGCTTAATCTGTGAAACAACAAGTCTGAGGAGAAAAACCTGAGCATCATCAGATCCCTCCTTATTTACTTACTGTGTGTACTCTTTAAACCTGGTGACTGATTTAATTTAGGCCCAAGTTTGTGATTTCAAAGACACCAAAAGGACATTTTGACTCATTCGTTAATGTCAAGAAAAGGAACCATTCTAAATAAATAAATAAATCTCAAAATGAAGTTCAGGCAAGCAAACAAACATACTACCACTCAGAGTTTTAGGAAAGTGAACGTTCATTTAGCTCCATTTAGTGTGGACGTTTGTTTTCAATTAAAACCCCTTCAAACATAAACCAGAACAGGCTGATAGTATCTGAAAGGAAAACCATTCTTCAGAACAAAGTTAGATTATTGCCATGAAATACAAAACTTCAGACTCACAAGAAAGCCACAAAAACACAAACAACCGCGAGAGAGACGTTCCGTTTTCTCAGCAGATGCCTCACAGGGTTTAGGTGAAAGAGCTTTTCAGTTTAAGCAGGATTTTTAAATGAACTGCAGCGAGCATGCTTGTTATAAAACAACTCAATAAAGACACAGACGGGCTGGCACATCTGTGGGACAGACTCGGATGATTCACTGGCAATATGACTGCAAACGCACACACACAACATTGTTCAGGTTAATGAGGCGTGAGGTTAGAATGTTATCACGGCGTTTAAAGGGTGAGACATTTTGAAAACATACTGTTCCAAGCAAAAAAAAAAAAAAAACAGAAAAGAAGGTGGTTGTGTCATGTTAATGAGATGAACAATTCATACACGCACACTCACCGTCTTGGTTGCCCCAGTCCCAGTCCGGTCCACGAACCACTTTAACTCCCTGGAAGATTCCTTTGAGGATGATGCGAGGAAGGTTCTGTCTCGGTGTCAAGCTCACTCTGAAAAGAGCAGAGAGATGCAGATGAACCAGTCGCTCTATGGGCTGTCTGTGGTGTGAAATCCAGCACTAAATTTATCTGCAAGTACGCAAAATATAACCCAGACCATTCAGCTCCGTTTACATAGGAACAATTCACAACTAATATATCTCAGAGTGCTGTGTAAAAACATTCACATATATTAAAAAAATGCCACTTAGTCAAAGTTATCCATCTTAGGAAGCCTGAGCAGCACACTGGCGACAGTGGGAAGGAATGACTCCCTTTTAACAGGAAGAAACCTCAAGCAGAACCAGGTTCAGGATGGGCGGCCATCTGCCTTGACCAGCTGGGGTACGAGGCGATTCACAGCAAGTTTTTATGATACCCTGGTGCATCACCCTGCATATGCTGTCAGAACATGACGGACAGTTGATGTAAAAACAAAAGTAAAAAGCCTTTAAAAACAAAATTTCTGAATACACAAAAATGTACTATTTTTCATACCCAACCATCAATTCAGGGTAAGCATCAAAAAAATGATCGAGAAAAGAGTAAGATGTTCTGCATGACTCGAGGCCTTTTTTTATTTGGTATTATTTTACTTTTAACACATAATTTGAACTCTAATCAGAATAACAATAGGCTCTGATCACAGATTAGATGCAAAAATGCAAAATGTACCTTATTGTGAAGATTTGATCAGATCTGGTTGCAAAGGAGCTGCCTATTCCCATACTTTTTTTTAACAAGACCAAACCCCGGCGTCCATTTCAACCAAACCACTCTTTGATCAACTCAAAAATCATTTAAAATCCAGTCCAATGAGAAGAACTAAAGTCTTTCCTTTTTTTATGGAGCTTCATAAAAAATACCCTTGGTCCAACAGGTCTAGCAGTCTTCCTGGGGTTTTGCTAGACATACTTCCAGATTCCTGGGAGCTACAGCAGAAAGCTGCGGTGCATTTGGCTTGTAAAGCCCAGCAACAGTAAATCTCAGTGTTGGACTGAGCTGGGACAGGTTTGTACTGAGAATGTTGTGTGTCTGAGAAAAGCTTTGAGCTTAATCCTAGACAGCAGCGCAATCAGAAAACAGGGCACCCAAGGCTAAGGCATAAATCATCCACAAGCTGGAACGTAAATATTTGTTTGCCATAATTTAAAATATATATACACAATACAATTATGAGGGCAAACTTGTGGTATTTATAATATTAAAAAACAACAAGCTGTGCTTATTTCCTGTTTACACAAAGCAGAGCAAGCTCACAAGAGTGAATTAATGGAAACACTTAAAATGCAAGTGCTGTTTTTGCCAGTAAAGCCAGCTCGTTAAGGAAAAAGAACTTTCCCAATACTTGAGCCAAGATTGTTTTGACCCAACAGGGGATGCAAAGTGACAGATGTCCCAGTTTTATGACAGAGAAACGTGACCTCAGAGTTTGAGGTTTGTTTTTCACCGCAGACTTTCTTCCGAGGGATGAAGATTTCTAATCCTGCTCAACCACGTCAGTCCCAATCACAGAAAGCATCACGGGGAAATAAATAAATAACACTACACCCACTGACACACAGGTAGGAACAAAATTAAAAGAAAATAGCTATTTTACACCTTAAACCCAACAAGTTAAAAAAATAATAATAAATGAGAGAGCAAAGTGGCAAGAAGTGCAAATGACACGTGTCCGACAAACAAGAAACAATAAGTATGCACAACAGGTTGGGTGCTGTGACCGGTGTTACGATGGCCTCAGTTGAAGATTTGAGGTGCTTTATTATCATTCGCATCACATGTGTTACATGTGGTGGAACAAAATTGTGTACACAGGGTCCCAGTTACAGTAGTCCTTCGTTTATCACGGGAGATCCGCACCCTGAAGTCCCGCGATAAGTGAAAAACTGCCAAGTAGGAATAGCAGTACAAGTAGTAAGTAGTAGTTTATTTTATTAGTTTTATATATATATATATAATATATATATATATATATAGGCATTTTAAAACACTTCCCACACTCTTACAACATTCTAAACAATGTTTCTAAACTCTAAACGCTCTAAAAGAGCACAGCATGTCATGATTTCAGCTTCCTGCCTCCTCTGCTCTTTGCCGCCTGCAAGTGCTCTCGGCCACGCCCACTTCTCCGCCCTGCACGCAGATCAGCTGCAGGAGGAAGTTTATCCTGCAGTAAGGGCTGCACAAAAGAGCAGCAGGTGCTAAATAATTTAAAATAATTCATTTAAAATAAAAATTCCATGCCAGTCGTGCGGCTCATCCATCAATCAACTAATTTTTGTGTCATGTCCAATCTTATTTTGAAAAACCGCGATAGAGCAAGTCTGCGATAGAGTGAACCTGCAATAAACGAACGGCGAAGTAGTGAGGGACTACTGTACATCCAACAAAAGTATAAAAGGTAAAAGAAAAACAGTAATAAGATCTAAGATATGAACTAAGAAAAATGTTCACTAAAAATACGCTAAGCACTAGTAGTACAAAAGCAATACGCCAAACATGATGCCAGCCTTGTTAGTTTATACTGTATGCAATGGGTTTGTTGGAAAGTTACAGCAAGACTGAAAGACAAAGTCTCCTTTATCCAACACATTAAATAAAAGAGAAAAGGAAAGGTAAAAAACAAGACAAAAAAGACTAAATCAGCAGCTAGTTAGAATACTCCAGAGAAGTGACCACAGAACAGAGAACTGAGAAGGTCAGGTGGCCGCAGTGTTTCTGGACGTGCTGGGAAAGGATTAGATACCGATTTGACCTGGCAGGAACTGCATGTGTGTTGTCTGTGGGAGGAAGAGCCGATTAACCAGCTGTATACCAACCAGCATCTTGTAAACATATGGTCTGCACATATACTGCCGTAAGCAACGTAACGTATGCCCGCAGATGTTTCCAGTGCACTATTCAACATAACAACCTATGTTGACAAAAATGCAGAACTCACTGTAAAACAAACTAAACGTGCCTTCAGTTGTCTTCTTCCTTCATCAGTGTCACATCATTTTCCGCCTTTATTTGTACAAAATCCAACATCCATTATCTAGTGGCTGTCTTCTAAGAAGCTGGAAATGCTAATCTACACTTCTGACAATGGTAGCATGCTAATCCATTTAAATCTGATGCAATTACAAAGGAACACTTATTAACAGTATATCCGGCTCATGTCTCACGCCATGTGCATGATGGTGATACTAAGAGTTTTCCATTATCCCCTCAGGAGAACAAAACATTTACTATCCACTGTCTGTTCATAACCTAGAAAAACGGATGAACTGTGCCAAGTTTTAAAATATCACAAACGTTTGGTGCAGATGACAAGACGTCTTTTTAGCAATGCGAAGGCCAAACTTCAGCTTCCTCACAAGTCACGCCGATTATGAAGCCAAGCTAAAGCTGGCTGTCGGGACAAAAAACAGCATGTCCCACAATTACCAGATAATAAATCAGTCTTTTGAGATGCTGTCAATGAAATCTGGGTCAGTGTGGTCTGAAAATAAAGAAGCTTTTTGTGTTAGGCACTACAAACTGTATGCTGCTCTTCATTCATCTGACAAGAAGTGACTTTCATGTGATGTTTGTCCCAGATGTACACTCTGCTACTGGGAGGGATAAAAAACACTTTTGGAAATTTCCCTCAAATTATTAAGATTAGTTCAGTGTTCTGGCCAGATAAAATAAAGTCATTATGTTGAGTGGTGGTGGCACGGTGGCTCAGTTGGTAGAGCTGTTGACTCTCAGGTTGCTGGATCGAATCCTGGCCGGGAGCCTTTCTGGGTGGAGTTTGCATGTTCTCTCTGTGCATGTGTAGGTTTTCTCTGGGTACTCCAGTTTTCTACCACAGACCAAAAACATGCATGTTAGTCTGATTGGTAACTCTAAATTGTCTTTAGGTGTGAGTGAGAGAGTGAATGGTTGTATGTCTCATTTGTCTCTGTGTTCCTGTGATGGACTGGAGACCTGTCCAGAGTGTCCTCTGCCTCTCACACAGTGACTGTTGGATATGGGCATGGATAGATGGATGGATGGATGGATGGATGCATGCATGGATGGATGGATGGATGGATGCATGCATGGATGGATGGATGGATGGATGGATATTGAGTAGCAAATTCTAATCACTGCCTACCTCTAAACAGTGAAAGTGCAACAATGTTTCTGCTCATGTTTGTGTTTGTTTGATGTAGAATTAGCAAAAGACCTTATGAACTAGTGAACAGGTTATATTAACTCAGTTAATGATTATTGGATCTAAAACTGGTTAACTTTTAGAGCCAACCACATTTAAGACGGCTGCTACATCGACAAAACAACAATGGCTGTAACAGTCAATTACACAGGTGACCTTGAATGTGGAACGGTAGTAGCTGAGAGTCACCCGTAACAAATACTTTGAGAGCTTACCAATCACCTGAGATCTGTTCTTAAAACTTTGCCAAAACTGCTAGTCAACTGTGTTAACAAAATATTTTGTGAACCACTGAACATATTTTAATGAAAATCACTGGATGTACATCTACAACTGAATACCATTTAAAGTTAACCCAATTCAAGATGGCCGCTGCATTAACATTAGGGAAAGAAAGTCTGAGATTGTCATCATCGTATGTTTCCATACGATGGCAAAACTAGTTCTCTGCATTTAACCCATCACACGAGATACACCCAGGTGGAGCAGTGGGCAGCTACGCAAGTGCTCGGGGAGCAATTAGGGATTGGGCGTCTTGCTCAGAGACACCATGACATGTGGGCATGGCTGGGAGTCGAACTGCAACTTTCTAGTCCCAAGATGGCTGCCCTACCTCTTCCCCATCTCAGCCCCAAAAAGCAACGCATAAGTGGCTATAACGGAGTTTATTTTACAGATAGTGAGCTCAGATTTGATGCGATAGCAGCTGATAATAACACAGACTCTGAGCGTGACGTCTTGCAATATTGCACGAGATTGCACGTAATGGTGTTTTCACGGTGTAACCAAAAACAACAAATGGTACTGATATAGCGCCTTTCTATCT